GAAGAAGAAGAAGAAGAAGAAGAAGAAGAAGAAGAAGAAGAAGAAGAAGAAGAAGAAGAAGAAGAAGAAGAAGAAGAAGCGTTGCAGACGGCTAGCCGCCCCTTGGTTGTTTACGGCTGGCGCGGTGCGGCTGGCGGGAGGCTCTCGGCCGGTACTTCCCCTCTGGTCTCGGAAGCGCTGCGAGTAGCGCGGCGGCGGCGGCGCCACGGGGCTGGGCGGGGGCCGCCGGAGGCCGCGCCCGGCACGCCAGCGGTGGAGACAAACGGTGGGGGCGCACGCTGCGTCCAGACAGAGAGAGAGAGAGAAAGAGAAAGAAAAACACACTTACGAAACAAAACCCTGGTAATTAGTTTATTTTATCTTTTCTGATGTGGTGAGAATTTGTTGGGAGGTAGATAATGAAAACAGGGAGGGGGGATGGGTTAAAATTAAACATTTTCGTAAAAAGTCATGAACTGAATCATTTGAAAAAAAAATCTTGTGTGTGTATGTGTGTTTCGCCCGAAAACGTTCATCTCTGGTCGCGGAATGTGCCAGCAGGGAGCGCTTGGTGCGGTGATTCACCTGGCGGTAAACAAGGCTCCTAGGAGGCCCTGGCGGGGCTATGGCGGGGCCCTGCTCCTGCTGCGAGTGCTGCCGGGGTCCATGCCGATGCTATCCATGTGTCTGGACCCGCGCCAGCGCCGCCAGCCGGCCGGGCCGGCCGGGCCGCCGCGGGCGAAAACAAATTGACGGGCTAGTTGTTGAGGAGGGGGAGGATGGAGAGAGGCCCGGCGAACGGCGGCGGGTTGTGTTGGGCCGGCTCACGAGTATGAGCGCTGGGGTGTCCTCCACGGCTGCCGAGTTTCGTCCGGTTCAGCCAGCCGTGCTGGCGCCAGTTTCCGGAAGCCCGCCGCCGCCGTCGGGTGAGGAGGAGGGGGGGTGGGGGTGGGGGAGAGCCCCACCACGCCGCGGACCACCACCACCACCACCAGCACCGCTCCAACAGCAACAGCGGCGGCTGGTCTCCCTCCCCCCTAGGTCTGCAGCCCCACGCACAGCACGCCCCCCTCCCCCTCCCCGGATGCATTTAATTAGACCCCGCGAAGGGCAGGGCCGGCGGCGCGCAGGGCGCTCACCTTAACCCCCTGGCCCACCCG